CCTGTGAAAAATCTGTTAAGAGGATGAAAGACAAGCTATAGACTGGGAGAAAATACACACAAAGAATATATCCAATAGAGACTTGTATCTAAAAAATATAAAGAACTATCAAAGCTCAATAGTTTTTAAAAATCCATTTAGAAAATGGAGAAAATATATGAATAGGTATTTTACCAGAGGCAAGGTATAGATGGCAAATAAGCACATGAAAAGATGTATGGTCAACAACACTAGTGAGATATATTTTGTATCTAATAAAACGGCTAAAACTAAAACAGTAATAACACCAAATGCTGAGGAGGATGTAGAGAAAGTGGTTCTTTCATACATGCCTGGTGGGAATGTAAAATGGTACAGCTGCACTGGAAAATAGTTTAGTACTACCTTATAAAGTTAAAAATGCACTTACCATATGACCCAGCAATCACATTCTTGGGCATTTAACCTAGAGATATGAAAACTTATGTTTGCATAAAAACTTATACATGAATATGCACATTAAATTTATTTCTAATAATCAAAAGCTGTAATCAACCCAAATGTCCTACAGCATGGTCAATGGTTAAACAAAATGGCCTATCTAGAAAATGGAGTATCAGCAATAAACATAAATGAACTATTGATATTTACAAAAACTTGGATGGATCTCAAGAGCATTATGCTTATTGAAGAAAGCCAATCTCAAAAAATTACATACTTTATGATTCCATTTCTTTAACATCTACAAAATGACAAAACTAAAGGGATGGAGAACAGATTTGTGATTGCCAGGAGACAGAAATGAAGTTGGCGGCTAGGGACATGCCTACAAATGGATAGCAAAAGGGACTTGCTAGTGGTAGAACACTTCTCTATCTTGATCGTTTGTGGTCATGGTTGCACAAGACCATAGTATCAAATTGTACAGAACTACAAACACATACACACACATACACTCACACATACACTACTGCATATAAAACTAATAAAAATTCAATAATGACTGTGTTTTAGTTAACAGTACTGTACCAATATCAATATCTTGGTTTTGATGTACTATTAGCCATATAAAATATTACCATTATCACAAATAATGATCATAACTCAACATAAATGTCCAGAATAATTTTTAATAAAGGCATTATGGCAAAATGCAGGCATTTTTGAACAGGCCTGGGGTTAGAGGGCAGTGGTAAATAAAAACTAAGAGAACTAGATACAGAACATATTTTCAGAAATCCAGGTAAAAAGGGTCAACAAATCAATAAGAGGCAGTAGATAAACTAAAACCCTATAGAACTGGAAAAGGGAAAAGGTAATATTTTTTTTAAATGCAAGAATTCAGGCCGGGCACAGTGGCTCACGCCTGTAATCCTGGAACTTTGGGCGGTCGAGGCAGGCGGATCACAAGGTCGAGTTTGAGAACAGCCTGTCCAATATGGTGAAACCCCATCTCTTTAAAAAAAAAAATTTAAAAGAAATGCAAGAATTCTTTATAAGCATATCTTCACTGCCATCTCCAAAGAGATGACATAACTGTCTGGTGCATAGTGTGCCTTCCTTTAATGATAACAGTCATCACCATCTTCATTATCACCATTATTACAGCAAACTAATTCAAACTACTTTCTTCCAGAATGCACTGCTTTGACTCTGATCATCTAGAGTTTTACCTGACATTTTTCTTACCACTAATATAATTTTATGAGATTTTTCTACCATTTATGCCTTATCTGAAGCACTTTTCAATTAGTGAAAAGTTAAATTACCTCCAAGTATGCATCTTGCCATGTAACTCTGAAATCCTCTAATGAATAGGTGAGAGTGATCATTATTACTCTCACCTATTCATTCACTGTATTATGTATCATAGCCCAGTTTTGAATCAACTCAAGAATAAAACTGTCTTCCTATTAAAAGGATGAGGTTTAGAACAAATCAGTTTGCTAAGTTGTTCTAAAATATACTTTACTATGCATTTGCCATTTTATTTTCTGATATTTTCAGTTTACTCCTCCATTAACACTTACAATACCATTTGTACCCAGCATTATTATTCTTGTAGTACAGATGAAGAGAAAGATTCAGAGAAGTTAAGCAACTTGCCCATGGTAAGAGGGAAAACCTTGAGCTTGAATCCATATAGTTACAAGATTCAGAAAAGTTAAGCAACTTAATCATGCTAAGAAGGAAAACCTTGAATTTAAATCCAGATAGTTCTATCTCTAGAACCTATCTACTCTTTTAACATCACTGTGTTAACACTAAAATTCAGAGAGTCAATCTGAACTCATATACTGCTTGCAGGAGTATAAACTTGGGAGATCAAATTTTCACATTAAGGCTGAACATGCACAAAGTCTGTCTAGGTGGAAACCCAGCATGTGTATTTAGATGGAAACCGTGACACATATTCCTTGCCCTCACTCCTAAATCATCCATTATTCTGAGTGTACTGGTTCATTCCCAGCAGCACACAAACGTGCTAAAACCTTCTATAGGGTTGTTTACTGCTGTCTCTAATGCCTCTTTCCATTCTCTACTGAAAGTTCTCCAGTCAGGCTTTCATTTCTATTTATTTAAACAGCTCTTTGTGAAGGTCACCAATGACCTCCACATCATCAATGCAAAAGTAAATTCTCAGTTCTCATCTAATCTGACCCATCACCAGCATATGACTTTAACTAATTACTGCCATTTAATTTTTTCATTTGGCATTCAGGATCTCTCTTGTTCCTGATTCTCAACCTATTTTACTAAAAATTACTTTTTAACCTCCTTTGCTACTTTCTCCTCAGCTTCCTGACCCCAAAGGTCTCAGTGCCCAGGGCTCAATCTTCAGATCTCTTTTCTAGCAACATTGACACCTCAAGTGATTTCAATTAGGACTAAATATTATCTCTATGAAAATGAATCTGCAAAATTTATCTCTAACCCAAACTCTCTCCCAAACTCAAAATCTTCACTCTGATGTTTAAGTAGCACTTCAATTTAATATGTTTAAAACCTAATTTTTGCTTTCCACCACCACCAAACATTTCCGGCACTTTCTAAATCTAATTAATGGCACCCATCTTGGGTCTCTTCAGCCAAAAACCTTCAGAGTTACCTGAGTTTTCCTCTAACATCCCATGTCCAATAAATCAGCAAAGCATGTCATCCCCTCCTTAAAAACATATCCAGAATCTGTCACAGAATGTGTCCATTCTTCATCATCCCCTTGCTATCAACCTAATCTAAGCCATCACTATCTCACATTTGTAAGAAGACTTGGTCTAGAAAACCTAAAGAAAGCAATCCCCTTAGTCATTTTCCATTTTTGTAGGTTGGGGTTAGTTATACCATTCTCTCAATAGATAATTACCTCTAAAAGCAGGAACAAGGTGACACAAATCAAGCAAAGAAAGAGGTTGCTTTATCCTGTATCTGCTTCAGGCATTCATGATAAAATTAAAAAGAAGGTCATATAAGGGATTCTTGAGGCATCTTTATTATCCAGCACAGCCTGAAACATCAGAGGACAGCCAGGGACTCAGAAGAGCAGCCATAGTCATGATTGTATGGTACATATTCTGCTAGGGCATCTGTTACAAAGCACATCTGGAAACCCTTGAAGGTCAGACAGACTCTACAATGAAACAAGTCAATGTCACCTTTTTTATCTGGTATAGTTAGTGCCATGGTTGGCATATTTGTCCTCTCTAAAATCTATTTTGAAATTTAGGTACTGCCATAACAGCACTGAGAGGTGAGGACCTTCACGAGATGATTGGGCCATGGGCTTTGGTCTCTTAGGTGAGAGTACTGCAATTATACAGGGCAAGTTTGGCCCCTTTTGTTTCTTGGCCCATACTCCACAGCATGACACAACAAGCAGGCCTTCGCCAGATGCTAGCACCTTGATATTGAACTTCCTGGCCTCCAGAACTGTAATTTCTATTCATTTAAAATTACACAGTCTGTGGTATTCCTACTCCAGCATGAAATGGACTAAGACAGTTGGTATCTCAACATTAAGAAACCCATGAGGTTTTTCTACCATTAAAATAACTGTGAAAACTTGAACAAGTTACTTAGATAATTTGATTTTGCGCAAGCCACTACACAGATTGAAATATATGATAATGAAGAAAACTTGAGCAGGGTGTGGTGGCTCACAACTATAATCCCAGCATTTGAGAAGCCAAGGTGGGCAGACCACTTGAGCCTAGCAGTTCAAGATCAGCAGGTGAAACACAGGAAGACCCCATCTTTACAAAAATTAGCTGGGCATGGTGGCACACACCTGTAATCCCAACGAGTTGGGAGGCTTGAGTGAGAGGACCGCTTGAGCCCCAGAGGTCGAGGCTGCAGTGAGCCAAGATCACACCACTGCACTCCAGCCCAGGCAACAGAGTAAGACTGTCAAAAAAGAAAAGAAAGAGGGAGGGAAGGAGGGAGGGAGGGAGGAAAAGAGAGAGAGAGAGAGACAGAGAGAAAAGAGAGCAAGCAAGCTAGCTCACAATTCAACAACAGAAGTCAAATTACTTTAGATAGCAGATTTCTTTTTTAATTCTAGGATTCAAAATTCCCCAGCAATGTCTAAGGCAGATTCCTTCTGAAATGTTAAATGGAAGGCCTCTCATTCAAATATCAGTAATGCCAATGCCACAAAGACAAAACACAGAAACAGACAGATCATTATCCTAATCCGGTATGATATTTCAACCAGCAAGCATAAGGTAAGGGCACTAGCCTTGATTCAAAAAATGTATTAGTTTTATTATTAAATGTATGGCATTGACTAAGAAAAGCATTAAGAATTCTTATAGAACCAAAATTACGTAATTCCATGATTTATTTACTGAGTACATGCATCTCAGATGCAGTAATAGTTGCTGTGTGGAATATAATTAATTGCAAATATTTTAGGTACTTATATTCTTATTTTAGATGTGAAATGAATGGAAGGTCACCTAAATATTCCTACACCTTTATTAGGCACAGTGAAAATTTCCTGGAAAAGCAAATTAAGTATATACCTTTCAGTGCTGTAGTCTTTTCTTTTTCATCTGGACCTCCCTGCTGGATTTGTGCCATGTTTATCCAAATTGGCAACAAAATTAAAGAGCTCAAGGAAATAGACATCAATCTTCAGAAGACAGTCTAGAATGAATGAAAGCAATAAATTAAGTTCTACTCAAAACCTACCTACTCCATGAGAACTTCCTTGATGCTCCTAGTCAGGATTAATCTCTCTATCTTCATTTCCCACTGTACTTTGTTGATGCCTACACCATAGTATTTATTATTGTCTGCTTTGCATTAGACTTATTTATGAATTTATCTGAGTCAGCTAATGGCATACAAGCCTTGGGAATAGAGATATCAAGTTTCGTCATCTTTCTCTCATGTCACTGAACACAATACCTTATACATTACAGTTACCTAATGTTTGCTGAATTGAATTTAGCCAAACTTACTATTTAGTTTTAGTTACCTATCACCTAATGTTTTTTAAAAAATATCTTTGGGTAGTTCCAAAAACTTAAAATTTCTTTGAAAATAAATTGTAAGCATGTGCCATTTACAAGGTCAGAACGTCTTCCTTCTAGAACAAGCAGATAGGAAAGCGCAAATACATAAATTTATAAAGTATCTACAAATTTCCTATAGTGTAATTAAAAATGCAACTTCAAGAGAAAAATTAACTCTTTTTAAAATGAAACAATTTTAAAAATTGTATCAATGCCTGGAAACCATACTCTATAAATGGCACTCCAGTAAACAATCATATTATCAAATCATGATTTATTAAAATCTAATTCTGCTCTCCTCTGGCCAAAGGGAAGGCATTAAAACTAAAAATAGATGGCTTTTCCCAGGGTGCCCATGAACAGTAAAGCAAATCACTTCTCCTACAGTTTAAAAGAAAAAAAAAAGTGCAGCACCTATAATATAAAAAATTAAATCTAATCAATTAATCCAAAACTGTTAATGAAATTATATAAAAACTACATTCATGGCAATACAATAAGATTGAATATTCCTCTGAGGAACCCAATTTGATCTGCTATCCATAAGGTAAAATGCAATTTCCATTCAGAGGTACGTTTTATAATTATCTTTAAAAACAGATCAATTTCCATAATCAACAAAATGTAACAGAAAATACTTTTTAAAAAACTAGTACCGAAAATAAATATTTTAAAACTATGAATGTTCCAAATGGCCATAACCAATGCTGCCCTTGTGTCAAGTCTAACTGTAGGTGATGTGCTATAAGAGAAGGACCCTCTGGCTCCACTAAGAGCCAGCCATGAGCCCTTGAAAAGTTATTTTACTTCTCTGGGCCTCATTTTCCTCATTTGTAAAATGGAAGTGATAATCATGTTTCCCTCATAGTGTTACAGTGAGGTTAAATGTAAAACATTTAATATAGTGTCTAATACATAATTATGTGTACAACATATGTTAGCTTACTTTTTTAATCGTTGTAAACAAATCACGGCTACATCACTTAATAACACCTCCGTGGCAAGTCATACCAAAACTCTTTAATTTTTTCATTTATAAAATGTTGCTTTGGAATTAAGTAGTACAGAAGGTATATACAGCCAGTCATTCCTATAACTAGCCATTTTACTATTACCCAATGGTGTGAGATGTTCTAAAAGGAATACCTAGAACACGAGACTATTTTTCACTGGGAAAGCACTTTCACTTACCACGGAAGTAGCTCTTATTTTTCTTCTGTGTATAGGTAACTCAAAACTCTATAAATTCTACATAAATAAAATGTGTCTATATCCCATCAAGAAATGTATCCTAGTATTTAAGGTAGGCAATATGCAAGACTCTGGGAATACAATGGTGAGTAAAACAAGTAAGGTCACTGCCTTCCTATGGGCTTACTTTGTAGCTGCCAAATCAAATGGCCAAGCAGCAACAAAGACAATATACCAGACCTAGACTGATAATTACAATAATGTTAAAACAAATAAATATTTGCAAGAGCTATGTATTTCCATTCAGGGATTAGTCAAGTCCCATATGCTGGTGCACAAATTTCACCAGCAACTTTTTATTACAAATCATCTTGTAACAAAAATTAAAGAAGGCCGGGTGCGGTGGCTCATGCCTATAATCCCAGCACTTTGGGAAGCCAAGGCAGGTGTATCACGAGATCAAGAGATCGAGACCATCATGGTCAACATGGTGAAACCCTGTCTCTACTAAAAATACAAAAATTAGCTGGGCATGGTGGCACATGCCTGTAGTCTCAGCTACTTGGGAGGCTGAGGCAGGAGAATTGCTTGAACCCAGGAGGCGAAGGTTGCAATGAGCCGAGATCGCACCATTGCACTCCAGCCTGGGTAACAAGAGAGAAACTCCATCTCAAAGAAAAGAGAAATGTTTATAATGAGAAATTCCACACAGCACCCTTTGTTAAATATTCCACAACTAAGTTAATTACCTACAGGAGACTTCTTGCATTTTTTATTCTATCCCTTTGCTAACTCACTATTTCTTCCAAATATAAACTATTAGATTATTTTTCATTGGCCCTAAATTGATTCCTGAACAGAACAATATATATAATTATTTCATTGCAACTGGTTTACCAAAGGTAAAATTGTAAATATGTTTTTAGTGCTAGGGTCATTATCAAAATTTGTATTTCAATGAATCACTTTCAAGATTTCAAAGATTAAATAAAAATTAATAATCATTATTCTAATCTTATATGAGACAGCCTGAAAACTCATAAAGCAATTTGCTGGAGTAATATCATGTAAGTTCAAAAACTAATAGCCAGGCACAGTGGCTCACACCTGTAATCCCAGCACTTTCGGAGGCCAAGCAGGTGGATCACGAGGTCAGGAGATCGAGACCAGCTTGGATAACACGGTGAAACCCTGTCTCTATCAAAAAATACAAAACATTAGCTGGGCATGGTGGCATGCACCTGTAGTCCCAGCTACTCGGGAGGCTGAGGCAGGAGAATCACTTAAACCTGGGAGGCAGAGGTTGCAGTGAGCTAAGAACATGCCACTGCACTCCAGCCTGGGGGAGAGAACGAGACTCTGTCTCAAAAAAAGAAAACTAATTATTACATGTGACCCTAAACCTTATAGTAGCAGATGCAAAGCAGGTAAGCATGAAGCAAAAGCAATCTGTCTGTTGCTCCCTTAACAAGTGTTAGATTTTTACCCTCTTGAGTTATTTTTCCTGGCTGTGGCACAGCTGGTGAAGCTAAATCAAGAACATTATAAATTCTCAATGTAGTTTTCCTAATAAAAATTCAGAGTTATAACCTGCATCACCACAGATAAACACTACTGAAAATGCAGCTAGCAAGCTGTTTGGTACATTTGATATGTATTAATATGTGCACTCGACATAGTTTATTTGGCATTATCTGATGGAGGTTAGGTTACAGAGAATAAAGTGGTGGATGGTTTTTACTGATGTGAATTGGGACACAGTTGACATGTTGTATACTTCATGATAACCACTGCTGTTTAAATATGGTTTCCTAGAAATGGTTATAGTACAAACTAGATTCAAAACATCTCAGTTTGCCATTTCATTCTGTGAACTACACAAAGCAATTATCATATCTTTTTCCTTTCTATGATTCTAACAGAGGATCTATGTATAAAGCTATAAATAACTTGTCATGTGTAATCTTTATCCAGTCAGCATTTGAAAATATGAAATAGTAGAATATCTCTTATTTGCCCTGTTTGCTCAAAATGTGGCATATGCACTTATAAAATGTACAGGAAGATAAATAGAAGGCTTATTTTTCTGCGTTTGTTTGTTTTTAGGCAGGTATTAAATACGAACTAGGTGATTTTGCAACAGAAGCCCTTTTTGCTTCACATTCTGATGTACTGATAAAAGTACAAAATATATCACAGAAAAAGGAAAATTGGGTTAATTTTCTGAGGTTCCCAGGACTGGTTCAGTTCCAGTGTGGCCCTAAAGATTCTATGCTCACTAAGTGAGACTCTAGAAATCAAGTTCAAAATAGCCTACTGGCAACTGAAATTACAGTAAATAGAACTGGTACAAGGGATTTATAAGGAAGCAAAAGGCCCATCCAAATTATAGTTAAAATAGTCATCAGTTGCTCATCAGCAAAGACTAGTTCATAATAATGCTGTCCAGAATTATTCTGAGGCTACAGTAAAAAAATGTTGGTGTGTGGGCACTGGAAAAGAAGCTGAAGAATGAAGAACTCAGGCTGAAAAGACACAAGACCAAAGTCCAGGGCAATACGGGCCCCTGGTGCATAGAAAATGGTGGCTTTTATAACAAATGCAAAATCATGTTTGGATCAAGTTTTCAGAGCCAAACCTTTTAGATTCCTGAGACTAAGAATACCCAGTTCCAATCCAAGTCTATCTAAAATAATTCCTTAGTTTCCCAAGCAACACGATATAGTAGGTTTGGAATGAGAAATCTAGGTTTTAATTTCAGTTCCTCCACCTAGTAGCTAAGTAACCTTCAGGAAGTTACAAATTCTCTAACCTAAGTAATGGAAAGAATTATGAAAATAAGAGCAGTTACCTTTGCAGGACTATTATGAAGATTATATGAAAAAATGTATATGAAAGCATTTTACAAACTATAAATCCCTTTCAAAATATTAGTAATCCAAATAAAATCTGAAATAACTAGATTCCAATTAATTTGTGCTCAAACCCCAGAAGAATACCAAAATCAATCCAATTCACAGAAATAAGAACCTTTTAATATGCATTACTTGGATATACTCTATGCACAAATAACAAAGTCTCACAATAATTATCTGTTGAGTTAACATGGGTCTCCAAGACTATATTGAAAATAATTATAACAGAATGTAATTTCTGACATAATTAAATACTTTGTATCTATCCATTTGATTATATTTATATCCCTTTACATTCCTTTCAAAACATATTAAAATGTGTGCCTGAACAAAGATCACAAATGTGGGTTCCACCTTCATTTGCCCAAGGAAGAACACTTTTCCAACTATCTCATAAATTGATACATTGGTTAGAAGATGACCAGTTCTATCCATATTCAATATCTTATTAGGTATTACCACAACTCGCAGGGAGAGTTGACATACCTGCATTTTATGGAGTTAAGGCATTCTGGGCTTTGAA